TCATGCCTCGAAGGTCAGCTTGGGGACTAATGATGCCTATGGAAATAACTCAATTTTGAAATTTCAGGTTATGAAATAATACCAAACGCATATGCGGTAGCTGGATTATACTCGCTTCGTACAATTTTATCCCCGTCGGCATACCACGCGATCTCATCTCCGCGCTGAAATTCCCGCTCACTACAACCAGAAATTCCAAAACGAACTTTTCAGCTGCATGAACTCGCAATGCAACCCTAAATCCTCAAATTCCGATCCCTCCGAATAAGCAAATCACGGATCTACCACAATCCACCCAGATCTATGGCATACCTCAACGGCCTAAAGCGAACAGTAACAGAAATACTGTCCCTCGATCTCGACGTATCGACCGTCTCTCCAATGAGCTCCTCCGCCGGGGCATAACTGACGGGAGTACGGTTTTCATAGCTCCTGGACCCATGGTACATTGAATCACTGCGGCTTCGACTGGGCGTCATGGATCTGGTTGTGTATCCATTGCCAGAAGCATAGAATGATGAAGCCGAAGATGAGCACGAGCGAGGGATGAATCTACCATTCATGAACGACGACGACGAAGAGGAGGAAGAGTAAGAGCTGGATGGTTTCCGGTAACCGAACGGAGAGCTGCTCCGTCCCCTCGACGAATAGGCCGCCATTGTTCGATCAACAGCGATCGATAGAGACTCTTCTCTCGGAAGAGTAGTGAAATGAAACAGAAATAGAAGAAGAGGAAGCCGGAGAATCTGTCAGTCCTCACATGCTCCGAAAGACAAAAGCAAAGAACAAACAGGTAGTTCTCTTTTTTAATGTTTGGTAGGATAGACGCTGAGCAAGAAAACACCAACTTGATTATAGACTGAAAAGAAGGGGTTCACTTCCTTCTCTTCTAAGGCAAATAGAGTTGCAGAAGAGAGAACCGGAAATCGATTAAAAATGGTGAGAAGGAAGAAGGTGACTTAGGTGAGGGTGGGAGAGGAGAGACTCTTTCTCTTTTGAGTAATTTTTTCTTCTTTTTTTTTATTTCTTTTCAAAGTTTTAAGTTTTAACACTTGTGCCTTGTTGGAGGAGTTTGAAACTTTGAATTACAAAGAAAGAATCGTTCAGATTCAACCGAGGAGAAGTCCACGATGGTAGATGCTGACTTGGCGGTCTCGATGACGTGGAGAGTGGGTAGTTCGAGTTTAAACTGGGTGGAATTCCCCGCGCTTTAAGACAAGCCTTTTAAAACAAACCCAAACGAGCGGGAGGGAATAACTGCGCCCGTTGGCCTCCGCTGTACACAAATTAATGCAACGAGAGGGGAGAGGGAGAGAGAAAGAGGGTTGGGGAAAAATTAAATAAAACAACATCCAGAAAAAGGGAAAAAATATGTATGATTATGATTATGAAGCGAGGAGGCTGGAGAGACGGAAAAAGTGGAGTTGTCTTGACTCCACGAAACACAGCCATGTCATAGATCACCCAATCATAAGATTTTGCTGTGATGCGGGACCCGCACTTGAGCGTTATAGGCCGCTCGTTTTTCCTTTTTGGCCACAAGTGATATTGATCATAACAGGACATTTTGATGTCGTCATTATCAAAAAAGGACCTCATGCGTAGCTGGTCCCAGACTCCCATTCACCGTTAGATTGGAATAAGTCACCGGTCAAACCGTGAAATGATATTCCAGTCTAATGGCATCTAGTAAATGGTAGGATAGATTAGAAGTCGTGCTCGCGTAATATATGACCAGATCCATGAAATCATGTCATAGTCATACTACTGCCAGCCGGTGTCACTGCCACAGTACCTAACTTTTCCGATAAGGAATAGCGCAATGCAAACTGACGGGCGACAAGAACCACCGGATATGGATATTTTGTTCATAGTGATCAACGGCCATAAATTAGTGGGCACATATTATCAGCGAAGTTAAAAAGCATTTTTCAGAATTGATTGATGATGTACAGGGCCGGGGGGAGTGGGGGAGTGTGGACAGAGATATTTTGGCCATGTGATGGGTTGGGTTGTGTTGGGTCCTTTTAACTTGTATCGCTTTCAACACTCCAGGAGTCAGGACGGATGCATTGACGACCGACGAGAGTCAGGAAACATACAAAATTTACAAGATGTAATTGTATTTTACTTTTGATTTGAGCGGTGAGTAGGGGTGTAAACAGATGTAATTCGAATCCAATTAGGCATTATGGATTACACTATTTGATATCCAAACTCAATTCAATATTCGATGCATATTCAAAATTAATATTTGAATTCAAATTCAATTACCTATTTGAATATTTGATTTGATTCAAATTCGATCAATCAATTAATGAATATTTTATTTATATAAATTATTTATATAATTTATTATATAAAAATTATATAAAACATTTAAATATTTATATATTATATATATAATAAATAATTAGTTGAATTCGAATATTTATTGAATTGAATCAGATTTATCCAAATTCGAATTCGATTAACTAATCGACATGAATAGGATATCCAAATTCAATAGATGAGATATTAAAATTATCTGAATTCGATTCAATTATGTTGAATCTTGAAAAATCAAATTTTCAAATAATATTGACACCCCTACCAATAAGCCCCCTGATCCTAATGACCTACTACCCATCTTATCTTGCACTAGGATCCCAGATCCATACACACATCCTATAGTCTTAGGAAAAATACATGTAATGTTTGACACTATTTACAAGCGATTCATTTCACAAATGGGCCCCGATTCACAAGTGTTTCATTTCATATAATATATTCATAATGAAAATTTAATGACATTTTACAAAAAGAAATCAGTTTTATTTTTCAAATTTCAAAGTGCCATACATGCAAGGTGATTTAGGATCATCAAGGCAATACAAGAAACCTCTCCTTAATCCCATAACCATAGTTGTCAAGGCCTCGCCATGGCCACTAGGCGCATTTCAAAGAACGCCTCGCCCCAAACGCCAACTATGTTAGGGGCATGCTTATAGAAGTATTTATTAAGTAAAAAAATATAAAATATATAATATTTTATTGGTTGTTTTAGTTATTATAATATAACCTATTGCATGTTATCATGCTTTTGTATTGAGTAAAGTGATAACAAAGTTAATCTTTGAGGTTTCACATTGACAATAGAATCGAAGTACCAACGTGAGGAAGATGAGAGAACAACAGCGTCCATCATTCCCACACAGTCCTCTAAAGTCAAGGTGAGTTAACCCTTCTCCTTCTTCTTCTTCTTTTTAGTTTTGTTCTCTATTTCCTGGTTTAAAACAGTGGTTATGCCCCATTTTCTCCTTTTTCTTTTTTGTATCATTTCTCCAAGTTTTTTGAATCATTTTATTGGGCTAAAACAGGGGTTCCGCCCCCTTCTTTTGTTTTTAAATTTCTTGCATGTTTTCAGTTTTTTTTTTTCTCATTGTTGGTGTTTGAAACAGGGGCAGGGGCTCCACCCCTTCTTTTATTCTTCATACTCTTTTTTTATTTTAATATTTTTTTACCAGCTTTTCTGGGTCTAGAACAGGGGCTCCGCCCCCTTCTATTGTTCTTAATCTCTTCCATTTTTTTCAGCTTTTTTTTGTTCTCATTATTGGTATTTGAAACAGGGGCTCTATCCCTTTTTTTCTTCTTCATATTTCTTCTTTTATTTTAATATTTTTCACCAGATTTTCTGGGTCCAGAACAGGGCTCCGCCCCCTACTTTTATTTTTCATTTTCTTTTTTTATTTTAGTATTTGTTCCCTATGTATTGTTGATCTAAAATCTTCAGTTCTTTCAAGTTCCAAGCACAAAAGTAAGTGCAAAATACATAAATCCCAAAAAAACTAGTTCAAAACATTAGTTTTAAATTCCATAGCCTAGCCTCGCCTTGGCGTCTTGAAAACTATGTCCATAACTAATCATTGCAAAAACATTTTTTGAAAAAAGCATAATTAACAAATATGATTTTCTTGTCAATTCCATTTAATTGTTGATGTGGCATTAATGACACATAAGCAAAAAACAGAGTATTGTAAAACACTCTAGTGCCGAACACCTAAGAAATGAAAATCATCTTATATGGATAACTTAGGGGATGTTTGGAACCGTGGCCGCTTTTCAAAAAAACAGTGCCATGTCGGATCCACATAGGCATTTCAACAAATGCCCATATATTTCATTGTTTGGTTAAGGCGTTTATTGAAAATTTGGGCATGTCTCGTAAATCGGGACCCATCGATGCATGAAACGTCAAATTTGGCATTTCATGCATCGGTGAACCGTTTCCCCAATGGTTGACTGATTGGTGATTATGTGTATCCTATGTGGTGCTTACCTGTCAGCACATACATGAAAAACGGTAATAAAAATCACCTTACCAAACAGCATAGTGTTGTTCACTGCTTACATGGCAGAAACACTCTCAACTAAAATTAAAGCGTTTTTTTTCTTTTGTGAAAAAAGGGTCTTAGAAGCACGGACATTTTTTCTTAAAAATCAGTCTCAATAAATACCTATGCTTCCAAACACCATCTTAGCTGTTGAGAGAGTTTATGGGCTGAACGTTTTCACCCATTGATGCCCATGTCCATCTTTTTGGTCAAAAGAAAATAAGGTGCAATTATTATTTTACCCCACTCTCATGGTATTTGACATTCCAACGAATGTACTCAATAGCTGTTGGGCCCCAACAGCCAAATTTTTTGGCATTCTATATGCCAATAAATTCAGGGCCTGCACAAGCTGGTTGACTTGACAAGAACATGAGAACGATATTTGTGAAAGATGTAAAATCAACGACTTTATCATACACAATTCTGCCCATAATAATTTTACCCAATATCATCACAATCACATATGGAGAACATCTCTTATATTATATAGTATTATGCACTTAGAGATGTTTCTAATACACAAGAATAATATATTGTGGATAGACATGAATAAAGTTATTGTGAGATATTGGGAATTGTACGTGATACGAGATACCTCAATTAGAGAGAGAAGGTTGGCCTTTAGGCTCATTCAAAAAAATTAGAGAGAAGGTTGGAGTGAGTTAAGACTTAAGATGGATATAAAGTGGGTCCCATTACTACCTTTAGGCTCATTCAAAAAAATTAGAGAGAAGGTTAGAGTGAGTTAAGACTTAGTTTCTGACAATAAGAAACACCTCTCCTTTAGTTTCATTTTAATAAATACCTCTCCTAAACTTTTAAAAATCCAATAAAATCTTCCCTTCCATCACTAAACCAGACGGAAAATATACAAAGTTACAAAATTATCCCTGACAATTATCATTTAAAGTATTTTTAAAAATCAAAATTATCCTCGTTCGAGCAACAACACATTCCCCATATTTTACATTCGTTTTCAAATCAAAAGAAAATAATGTATCGCTGTAATTGGGGAAATGCAAAGAAGTCAAAAAGGAACTGAGCAGCTTGGCAGTAAATAAGGGGATCCCGGAGGGCATTGGGTTTCGGCTGTTGAAGCCTATTTTCAGGTGGCCGGCGTAACAGGCACAGAGACTACTAAAGGAGTGTTTCTAGCATATTTGGGGAGCTACAAGTCAGCACTGTAGCTGCAGTGAGGGTAGTCCGCTGGAGTGCCGTCCAGCTGCAGCGACGTCCGAAAGTGACTGAAATTTTCTTTACTCAGTATACCATGGAGCGTTGTGGAGAAAAAACGATTGATTTCAATGACTGAAATTAAAGTAACGACGATAATAGAGAAAGAAGACCAAAGTGAGAGAGAACTGAGAGTGCCGTCTTCCAACTGCAGCGACGTCCCAAAGCAGTTGATAGAGCGAATAGATTCTAATATTCTATGCAGGATTATGCAACCTTTATAGGGCTTGGAATGCGTCTATCGAACGAAGAAAAAGGTGGGGAACAGAAACAGACAATCAGATGAGTGAGATTTCTTTCTTTAATATTGATATTCGATGAGATTTATTTCTTGTACAGACAATCAGATGTAGGATTATGCAACGTTTGGTCTCCTTTCATCTGCTTCTCTTTTGGCTTCTTCTCAACTGCTTCGAGTTCTGCTAATTTTCAATGCCAT